GTATGTATGTATGTATGTATGTATGTATGTATGGGTATGCACTTAATCCATGATCACACACAGGTCATCTCCCAGCCCAAAGACCTTAACACACAGTTATACCGCTAGATTCTGTCTGGGTCATATACAGCACCCAAAGCCTTAGATATGACTCCCAGAGATTTCCAAAAGTTGCTACTGAATTTTCATTTTTTAAATATTTCTGAACAGGACAATTATTAAAGGTAAGCCTGGATTGAAATAATTCTAATGATAATTAAATTTAATCACAGGTAAATGTAAATTGAATGAAACATCTGTATTGGCCCCATCCCCTTCTTTTTGTGGTTCAGCTCAGGATTCAAAAGCCAAGAGTCACCCTTAGCTTTACAAAGTTGTGCCCCTCCAATTCTAGGAAGCACCACTCAGTATTTTCTCTGGCTGTTGCTACGGATCCTGGAGCAGAGGCTGAGGGCAGGCATGATGACTTGCAGGTAGTTCCAGTTGGGACTCCTGGATACTTCAGGCACTTCTTAAAGAAGAAAGCACACAAGGCAAGAGGGGCAAGACAGATTATGTCCCTTCACTAACAGACAGAGCTAGAACACAACAGAGTCAAGAAAGTCAAGATGGTGGCCACTCTATAAAGATTTAGGAGTCAAGAGAAAATGGAGGTAGGAGACAAATTAAGGCCAGAGGTTCAAGCCCCTTCTAGCTTTAACATCGAAATAATTATGAGCAGCAGGTGAGCTAAGAAAGTGAGGAAGCATTTATTTCTTGGGAAGCACCAGACCAGGCCTCTAAAACACATCTTTCAATATGGAGTGGTAAAAACAGGTAGAGCTATGGTTGTTCCCTCCTTTGCTGGAAGACTTATTTTTAGAAGAGGAGACTATCATTTTCTTCATATTCTCTGTGACTTTGCATGCGTGCATTTTTGGACACATTAGAGCAACCTTGGAAGTCTCCATCCCCATTTGTGGGTACAGCTATGCATGTCTAGGATGCTTCCACTACAGCCTATAAATGAGATAAGTGCAAACGGCATTTGTACCTGGATTCAGTACACTGGAGAGAAAGGGCAAGTTGTCAGCAATCCCTTTATACTCTTATAATTTCCTCCCGCTTGGCAATTGCTCTCATAATAGCCTAAAGTGCCCAGTAGAGTGAGGAGGAGTATTTTTAGCTTGCTGATCCAGCAAAATGTTAATTTAGATCAGTATCTGGCAGTGCATTCGGTGATGATTCTCTGCTGGCTGTCTCAGAACTCCCTATTTAACCAGCTGTACTCCAGAGGCAAAACAGAGAATTATGCTGCTTAGTACTGGTCACCTGCAGCATAGGGTAACAAAAAGCAAAGCGGAGAGATTTTTTTCAGGTGTACAGTTTGCCTAGAAGGAAGGGAAGCAAGACCTTGCGCTGGCCTTGTGCAACCTATACAGAATCAAGGCTGTGGAGACAGAGGGGTGTGGTGACCTTCAGTCATTCATGTTGGTGGGCAAAACCTTCTGACTTTTCAGCTAGAACCCACACCAAGCCAGAATTAAGAATATCTGCCTTTCATCCATTGCCCTTCCTTACTGCGTTTGTGGCTTGCTCTGATCTCTTTCTGCTGCACATCAGAAAAGAAAGCTTGTTTGTGAAACTTTAATATGGGTTGCAGTGTGTTTTCTTTTCCTTTTTCCTCCTTACTACCTGCATCCTGCCCCTCAATCCTATCATACACTATGTTCCAAGTGAATTTACCCAAGGTTGTATACATTTTATTACTCCATTAATCTGGAATGTAAGTTTATTTTTAGTTTTTTATTACTGTTATATAGGGTTTCTATTTTCTATTACTTTATTATTGGGATTATTCTTTCTTATATATGTTTTATATAACTTCTACACATTGTGTTGTTATTACTGTATTTTATAGTGGGGTTGAAGTGGTTTATAAAAGCCTTCACTTAATAAATGTATTTCTTCTTCTAGAGAATGAAAAGCAATAGGAAATCTAACAAGCCCAGTTCTACAAATTGGGAAGAAAAAAGCCACATAAATCCAGAGAGTGACTAGATGGCAGCAACAAATTAGTGTTTTCTGTATCCCGCTGCTGTGTCTAGTGGTCATTCTGCATTTCTGCAACTCAGATATGGTAGCCTTAAGAAAGCGCCTCCAGAAATACAGGTGCGTCTTCTCTGCAGTCACACTCTACATGCGGAACACAGCGAGACTTTTATAAACTTACCGAAAACTTAATCTGCATTTTCCAAACATTGCAGTTAATCATTAGGCAGAGAAGAAGCTTGAACTTGCAAACTGGGACTGCTAATTCAGAACTGGGTTTCTCTTTGAGCCACAAAGTCTTATTGAACTCTAACTGGCATTGCCACCTTGAGACATTCTCACCCATAGCTATCATTTTGAAAGAGAGACTTATTTCTGGTGATATATATAACTAGGATTCATCAAGAGGACCCCAGGAAAATGTAGCTTTTTCACAGCCTTCCATTCAGCAAGATATGAAACCCAGCTATTGTACCACTGGGACCCAAATTGTATGGAAATGCAGCTTTACTAGCTAGCAACTGCCTTCATGCAACAAAAGGGATGGATTTCAGATTCTGGATGACGTGAAAGGTTCATTTCTAGAAGTCAGACAATATTGTGTTCTGTGACCACCGCTTATCTTATATGAGCAAGAAGCTGAATATTACTGCCAGACTCCCAGCAAATCAACCTGGCCTTTACCAATTCATAAGGAAGGAAGTCAGGGTAAATGGGCGGCTGCCCCTCATGTCAAGCGATTTGGTGCCCCCCAGTGGTGACACACTGAAAGGACTTTAACCCCAACGCACAGAAGGGAATCCGTCTAATTACTAAGCCAGAGCAAGATTACATAGCAGCTGCTTTCATTTCTGAGACACAACTATTGTTCAAACACAATGGTTGCTATGGCTGGTCTGACGGTACATATTAACAAATCTATTGCAGTGTCTGCTGCATTATTTTTTATATCAGGGTTTACAGTGTAGAGCAGCAGGAAAAGACAATGGGAAGTTTAAAGGGATTAAAACCTGCCTTTGCAGACAAATGATTTCTGCAGAATCACATCACAGATACTGCAATGGATTCATTAATACATGCCACCAGACCAGCCACTGCATCTGAAAAATACAAAAGCCCCCAAAATGCATTTAAAGGACAATCTAATGTCATTTACCAGGATATGATGATCCAATGCAGACAGAGAAGGGGTTTAGTGACCTAATCATTTGTGTTTATGACATGAACATGCGGTGGAGTTCAGGTTTCTTAAGTTCAGTGAGTACAGTTGTGGCAAAATATAAATTGTGTTCCATGGAGATAGTTTAGACTTCATCCAAATCTAATAGGTCCAAGGTTCATTTCCCCAAAGTTGCTCATTTCCCCCTGCAAGTTTGGCAAATAGATGTATACCTGCTCTGCACCACTGTAGGTTTAAAAATAAGAGTTGTGATTATTCAAACTATGTAGCTATGCCAAAAAGAGCCTTTAAAAGATAATAGATTTCCAGACTGCAAATCTCCCTCCCTCCCTCTGTCCAACCAAAGGAGAAAACAATGGGAAAGGGTGCAAAATAACTTGTATGCTACCACTTTGAAGCCAGCCCCATAGTAAGAGTTACAATACAGTCCAGAGAGAAAGACAGACACTGTCAAAGTACAGAACTCAATAGTAATAGTGCAGGAAAACTAAAGATAAAAAAGTTGTCATTAAAGTAATTGGGAAAAGATGGACTCTAGAAAGAAAACTAACATTGACTTGGAGACAATTTATATGCTACATGAGGGAGCCAGACTTAAGAATACTGAGAAAAAGCACTGATGAGAACTGGCTCCAATTAAACCCAAGCAAGAGGTGCACAAATTCACCGAAACTAATGGAAATACATTTGTACCAAACCCTGTAGAAAGAATTGGCCTGCAAACCCACGATTTAATCCCTTTAATCTTCCCAATTTCCTTTCCTGACTGCTCTATACTATAAATCCTCATACCAAAAATAATGGCAATTAAACAATTGTTCACATGATTTCTTCCAAGCCTCTTTTATTGGACTTGGACACACTCATTTCAATTTCTTCCAATTCCACAAGGCACATGCACATACTTCATAAGTATATTGTATTCCAGTGAGGATGGGAAACAGGCAGCACTGTGAGTGCACTGGAATGGTGCAAAAGGGATTCTGGAAGCCCAGAAGAATGCTGGGATAGAGAACAAATGCCTATTGTGACACAGTCACTATGGGACTATTCTCTTGAACGAACGTT